TTTTTTTTGAATAAGGGTCTTCGGATCATCTCGGGATGAAATAAGCTATTCTTTTATAAAGTATTTCACTTCTAATATTATTTTACACATAGTAATGTCAATAGTCAATTGAAAAATTATCTTCGTGAAAAAGCAAAAGCAGACACACGAACGCCAAATCAAAGCCGGGGCGCGACATTCATTAAAACAGAAATGGCCGTTTTCACACTAGAGAAGGATTATTCGTGTGAGACGGGTTATCCGTTTGATGATTCGCGTCAGATAGGTAATATGTCTTAATTTGAAAATGGAATAGTTTTAATTTGGAATGAACAATCTGCCTGACTTTTGAAGACGGGATTATCCGTTCCAGATAGCCTGTGTATAGCCGCCCCCTCCCCTCAGAAAAAATCGGAGAAGGGGTGTCTATGGCGAGGACGCGACTAGACACAGGCTAGTCTCAGACGGATGATCCATTTCTAGCTATAGTGTCAAAAAGGCCAATAACAAAATTCCCGTGTCCAGTGTTTTTAATGATAGCGAAGGACTACGGAACGATTGTCTGCCGTTGCCTTGTCCGTAGGCTGCGTTATTCCGCACGGCTAATGCGTTTCGGGTCACGTGGTCCGAGCGAGTTCGCCACCGAAATGCCTTGACTGAAACTGCGTGGGTAGACGCCGTACAGGGACTAAGCATGGCAATGTCTACCGTAGCGTCAGAGAAAAACAGGGAAATGTTGCTTATCGGCAACGAGTTTTACAAACAGTGACATCTCTGCGTGTTGTTTCACTAGTGTTTCGAGGGCACGACCTCCGGAAAATTGCAAATATTAATCCCCAGCAAGAAGCCACACTTTCGCTAGTTAGTTCCCAGAGAGAGCGCCGGAAATGGAGCCTATGTCTTGGTTAACTCCTAAAAGGCGCTTCGCCTAACGTGCGTATGGAGTCACACTAGCCGGCAGTGTTCTCACCAGGATTTTGCCTTGGGGAGTCCCAGGGCCCCCTCTTCTGAGAAATAGGGGCCCTGTAAGAACATTAGGGGGACAAAGTTACAAAAAACACGCGGTACGAAGAACCTGAGCCCGCACTCCAAATTGTCTGTTACATGAAGTACCTACCTGATCCAATATGGCAGAAGAGGTGTTTACGATTCGGAGGAGGAGTTTATGATGTAGTGGGACGTGTGTGGGACCAATGAAAGTAAAGGCAACAAAATTAAAGACTTTGACTCATTTGATATCATGTTTTTTTTTTTATTCAAACAAACAGAATGCTTTAGTGTTAGGTTGACCATTAAAACTACTTAAGTCTGTTTGACTCGTAGCTTGCCCCTGTGCCCTAACGGGCACATCTTCTTGGTTTTAATGCGCCATTTCAGTTTTTTCTTGCGGGAATCCCGCAAGGCCGCGGCCTGGTGAGAACACTGTAGCCGGGAAATAAAAAACGCAACCATAAGGGAGTTTAGTACCTTCGTTAAAAGTAGCAAATCTAGGGAACACTTTCTTTTACGGTTAACTCTTTTTTACCCTAATTACGGCTAACGGTTAAAATTTTTCAATTTTTACGGCTATCGGCTAAATTTTTGGCCGTTTTACGCCTATCGGTTAACCCCATTGAGACCCTCGTAAACGGCATCGCTTTGCCGTCTCCACTTATGCCCAAATTTGCACGCAGCAGCAAAAATTGCGATTTTTCGTGTTAGGTCGTGTGTTGCGAAAAATCGCAAGTCTGACGACCTGTCGCGTTTCGTGCGATTTCTCGCAGTTCTTTGTCATGTTAATGCTCACTTTTTCTCGGGTTCATCTTCACTTAAGTGTAAAACCGAAGTCTAAAGCGAGGGTCCACAATAGGGGTTCTCAAATCCCCCCTTCCCGCCTATTTTCTTTTTATATCCCGCTATCCCGCCATCCCGCCCTTTCTATGTACGAATCCCGATCCCGCCCTGATTTTGTCACGACTTTCTTGCTTGAACTATTGAAATAGACGTTATATAAGACTAATCTTCCGGAAATAGACAGCTTTAAATTTAAGGTTGTTAAGTGGATATGTTAACTAGAAATATGGCTGTTCACTGAATAGGCCCGTGCCCTCCCCTCCCCCTACTTTTTGGGCGAAAATTTTGAGAAAAGAAGACTACCACTTTACCGTCAAAAATACTTAGTTAATAACACAAGGCAATTCCCCTTTCGATTTTAAAAAATGTGTTGTTAGGGCTAGTTTTTTCCGTGCCCTCTCACTTTCAAATTCGTTCCTACGGACCTGTCACTTTCTTTGACACTCATAGCTGTCATACCTTAACCACAAAGGCGGACTGCACACAAAAGGGCCATTTTTGTTAGTCAACGCGGTGTGGTCGGGACAAAACTAAATTCCCTTATGCCGCTACTGTTCCTTTACTTCCCGCATCCCAAGCTCATAAAAATAGGAAATTCCGCTTCCTCTCCGTCAAAATTCTCGCTTCCCGCTCCTGTTTTAAGCTCGCATCTCGCGTATCACCGCAAAAAATAGCCAAATCCCGTATCGCAGAAATCGCAGTTTTGGCTGAGCACCCTTCTACCTCCTTAACCACTTGAATCTAGTAATTTTAACAAAAACTGCGATTTCTCCAATTTTTCGCAATTTTTGTTGCTGCGTGCAAACTTGGACATATCTCTTTTTTTCTCTCTTTTTTTTTCGCCCTGGGGACGAGGTTGGTGGATGATATCGACACGTCACTTACACATTTCCCATAATGCACCTAATTTCCCCCCGCGCCATCCCCAAATTTTGCGTAAGCATTGTTTTCAATTTCTCTTGGGACGGCTGTAATGCCCAGGAGAAATGAAAAATTTGGAGCTGGAGGGACAAATAAGGTGCATTATGCGAGATGTGCAAGTGGCGCATTGATTTCCGATATGGATTTCTCTCGATTGACTCCGCCTGGTTTACAAAATCACCAAGTTTGTTTATGGGACAATAATAAACGAGATACCGCCATTCAAAAAATCTCCAAAATTTACTGTGAATTATATATACGAAGGGAATTCGAAATTAATACATCTCTTTTCATTAATTTTCAAGTTTTTGAATATGGTTCCATGTACCATATTCAATATTGACCGGATTTCAAAGACAAACTTGCGGTTTGCTCATTCTGACAATATGTGGATTTTATAACACACGGACTCGTACCCAAAGTTCCCTCCGTTTTAAGCCTTATCTGTTTTCAATTCTTCACGATTTCAGATCCTGCAGCAGCTCTCAGCTCGATCATGCTGTTCTTGTCGTTGGATACGGTACATATGAAGGGAAGGACTACTGGCTGGTCAAAAATTCCTGGGGGACCAGCTGGGGAATGGAAGGCTACATCATGATGTCGAGGAACAAGGATAACCAATGTGGAATTGCCACAAGCGCCAGCTATCCTCTTGTTTAATCTCCGGGCCGTTGAGAACTTAGCCTGTCCACAGCCGGTTTTCCTTTTTTCCGACAGTTTGAGGGCGCGAGAACATTTCCTCTTTTATCCACCCCCACCTGCACTCTCTTGCGCATGCGATCAATTAATCCCCCGCGAGTTTTATTTCCATACGCGTCCTTGACGATCTCTAAAGAGAAAACAGAGGGTCTGTGAACAGGCTACTAAGACCTAAGCAACAATACCCCAAGCATCATCAATAACTAGTCTTTTTGTCCATTTTAGATTCTGTGATCTTTTTGGGGAGCAGCATTGCCAGAACCATTTTGTCATATTGCGATGCACTGTTTTTAAAGCCGAGTGAGCGTGTTTTTTGTTTTGTTGCGTAAACTCTTTAGGTGCAGTGCTAGATTAAAGTCTGTAAACAGGTTCCCTAGTATAGAGATAGAACGAAATCGCTGATAAATCGACTTTCCTTTAACTCTACATTACACCCCCTCCCCGTGAGCATATTCACAGGCAATGTTTCCCTGAGTTGCACTGGGGAGGGACAAGAAGGCCTGAAAATTCCTTCCTTGCTTTTTTTTAAGCCCGTGTTTTATGAAGGCGCTTTCTCCTAACGGCTCTCTTACAATGGGCTCCTTATTGCTATGATGTATCGGCTGGGTTGCCTGTTCCTGGCCCTCAGGTAACCACAAGAGGAAAGAAAAGCGAACTTGAGAAAATAACAGGGGATACTAATTACTTTGACCAAAGAGCCCGAGCCGGGAGCTCCCAGTCACTCGCACCCAGGGTAACCATCAGAGCAGACCCAGACAACCGAATGAGTAGCCTCCCACGAAGACGTTCTTCGGGGTTCGTCACGCGTTCCTGCCCCACTAGTGGGCCAGGAACGCGTGACGAACCCCTAAGAATGTCTGCGTGGGAGGCTACCGAATGAGGGAAATGAACCAATTAAATCTTGAAGCAAATACATCAAGCATTTACTATTGAGTTTTGAAATTATTCCTGCCAAGCAAAATGCATAGCTTCCACTCTATAACGGTATGTGGGTTCTTCTTTTTTACGACCTGCCTTTCCTTTCAGGACCTTACCGGTCGCTTTTTTTCTTTGTTTGCCCTACCCAACCGGCAGTCTCTGTACCTGAACAGAACACTAAATAGCAAGGCAATTTGAGAGGCTTCTCCGTGTATACAAGATAGGGCCCTACGGCCCCCCCACCCACTATAGGTTCAGTCTTCAGCTAGCAGCTGTGGGTGTCTCGATGCGCCGGGCCAGGGAGAATAGTGGGCGCTGCATCGAGGCATCCATGGCTGGAGACTAAACCTATACTGCACCTGAAAGAGCAATCTTTAATGTCAACCTCGTCCCTAGGGGTTTTCCCATTTTCCAAGGGCTCCTGCAAAAAATCACTTACAGCTGTGATTGTGAAGTTCCCTTGACCGGGGGATGAGAAAAACGAGCGAACCCTGGTACTAGTAATCTAACAATAGCGGAAGCAGCAGAGTGAAAATGGCGTTGGACGGTCTAAGTTACTTGTCAGCAGACTTTCCGGCAGCTATTGGAAGACCGAGATCTCCGAGACGAAGCCCAAGGCTAAGAGTGAATGAAGAAGATGAAGACGAAGTAGATAAAGAAAGATCTTCGCGAAATGTTGGGTTAAGGGCACCGATCATTGGTTATGAAGTGATCGATCAACGGCAAAAATTTACGGTACGTTTGCAGTCCTAATTCCTTAATTTCAAGTTTTTGTCGACCGTCGGTGTAAAAAGAATATCAGAAACGTGTAGTCATTGCCTTTATATGCAATAATTTTGTTTTCGCAATTCGGCGACAACGATGTTTTGGCAGTTTTGGTTTAATGTTTATGTATGAGGCGCGTGACTCTGATCTATAATCTTGCTATTCACAAATAATTTATGCGCTTTTGTCAGGATATACAAAGTAACAGTTTTCTGCCCTCTAATACTTATGACATTATCTTTTTAGCTATATTTTGCATCGTATTTTTTGATCATTTTCTCTTTGCTGTAAAGTTGTGGCCGAATAGAAATGTATGCATGACCAGCTAAAAAACAACTTTGTTTTTAAATCATTACCCCGCTTAAGCCTATGAAATGAATGGTCACACATTTAGACGGCGTAAATTTACAGAATGTAAAATAAGGTAAAATTCCTTAGATATTCTAAGAAGCTTAGACTATTCTTAATTATCTTAGTCCGGATATTGTGTGCGTCTCATAAATCACTTTATGCCTGGATATTGTTTATGTTTTTCTGAGGAAGTTGAAGTGGTTTCACCCTTGACTGCGTTTTTTTCTTTGACGTATGAAACTGAAGTGAAATTATGCAAAACCTTCAATCAAAGCGTATGAAATGTGGAAAAAGTAATATTTACCTACTGAATCCACAAAGGGGATCAATATCATTTTTGTTCATTTTCTTGCTTTTTTAAAGTAAATGGCAGTACAAGAGTGAAATCTTACAATGATACAAGGACATGTACAAATGGCTAAATTTAAGCTTGCATATATAATGAGTCAATATGAAAATGAGCATAGCCTCATTGCAAACATTGTTTGAAAATTTCAATAATGAAATGGCTCAGGTTTTTCTAAAGTTGGATAACTAGTGCTCTCCAGCGGATAAATTGCTATCCAGTGGATATTGGTATTACAAAAACCAATTTGTGTTATAACACTAGATAGTGATTTATTGCCAGTGGATAGCACTACCCGCTTTTTCAACAATTGGGGCCTGGAAGGTTATTGTGATATACTACCAGTAACCGCCTGTCACGGAAATACATCAGACTGGCCGCAGTCATCCCCAGTTGTTCAAAAAGGGTATATATAACGCTACTCACTGGTGGATACATCTCTGCAATGTATTATGCAGTAATTGGCTTCCCTAATACTCATCTTCTGAATCACAATTTATACCGTGGTGATAGGGCTCTAACTGTTTAAACACCTTGGACCTTAAAAATTAACAGTACTTGCTACAACCTTATCCATTCCATTGGCTGTCCACATTTCAAATTTCTTACAGTATCATATCTACAAACTCTAAATCTTTTCTCTGTTGTAGTTGCAACCCATCTTTGCATTGTTTGACACCATTTCCTGCTGTCCTTTGTCGCTGTCTCCAGGCCTTGTGTCTTGTCGGATTTAACCTAATGGGGCCTCTTGTCTAAATGATAGTGTTAAAATTAGGTTGAAGTTGATACAGCTTTCTTGCTTTTCCTTATTGACAATGAAAATCCACCTCCGTGGAGGGTTTGTCTCATAAAAGTCCTCTTTCACTTACCGTTAGAATACAAAAGTGTAGACTTGAACTTTTATTTTTCTCTTCAAGGTCTTTAAAATTGAAGTTAAAAGCTCCCAAAGAAGCTGGTTTGTCTTTCGCCGATACACTGATTTTACACGACTCAATGACAGAGTAAGTCAAGATAAATTATTTATAGCCAAAAGCTTCTTATCCAACAGTCTTCATGACATTACACCTTTGCAAATGACTCCAGTTAATTTAAAGTAATATTATTCCCACAGCTTTTCAATTTATTGTTCAGTGAGATACGGTAATGATACTGCTACAATTATATGCATGCTCCATGCCCTCCTTGCACTTGCTCACTTGCCCTTGCCCAAATTGCAAGCTGTAAAACTGACGTTCCACCCTGAATTTAGTGTTTTTAATGTTTTTCTTTTTTATGATGTTTAATAGTTGAAAGATGCATATCCAAACTTTCAAATTAAACTTCCCGGCAAACGATGGTTCAAGGATAACTTTGACGCAGGTATAACGATATAAAATGTTATTAATAATAATTCTTTCTCAAAAAGGAAATTTTATCCTTTTTATACAACCTCTGTCATACTTGCCTTATCACCCTAAATTAGCCACTAAACAATTTTCATTTCTACCGTTAAGTTGACTGAATGAAGGGCTTGTGACAGATATGAATGCTCAAGAACAATAATAATTAAGAAATTATTTCTTAATTATTAACAAATTAATGATCTGTCAGTTTTGGTAGATACCATTTATATATAATAGAGATATCTGAGAAATAAGTTTGAAACCTTTATGTAAACTCACTGTTGTTTTTGTTCATTTTTCAGCTTTCATTGAAGAGAGAGCGAGAGGATTGCAATTTTTTATCAACAATGTGATGAATCATGCTCAAATTTCTCAAAGGTACTGACAGTTAAGACAGGTGTCTTAATAATGTTCAAAGTATATCAAGACCTCAGGGTTAAAAAAAGGCTTTTTCTGGTAGTCTGGCCCAAATAGATTTTGTTGTAGGGCAAGTGGCTTTAAAAGCTTACTTGCCCACTGAATGATTGAGGGCTTAGGCATCAGTCTCAACCCCACCCCAGGTCCCTCTCCTGGATCTGCTACTGGCTGTAAAATATAAAGTCAAAATTAAAGACATGAAAGAGGTAATAAGTCAACTCTAGACTAATAGCAATATTGATTGTTTCTTTACAGTATTGAAGTGCAGGAGTTCTTCTGCTTGAATGATCCTCCTGGACCATATGACAGCTTGGAAGAAAGTAGGGTACGTTTTCAAAGACAGCAATGTTTCTTTAGTTTTATTTCTCAGCTTCTAGTGGCAGTTGGCACTCCTAGGCATTCATCATACAAATGTATTTGTTGAGCTTCTGATGTTATCCACTGGTGCCATTTTAATGGTGCATCAGCATTGTACACGTTCTCTAGAAAATTAAGCCCTTTGTGTTCTTAGATCAAATTTTCAATTGACATTAATTTTAAAAAAATGCAAATATCCCATTGTATGCATTGACATAGGAAATCCTCTCATTAGGGGAAGCATCTTAACCAGGTAAAGTGGCTATTCTTCATGGTGCTTCAGCTAATTGAAAGTGCCCTTGCTGTTATTTATCAGATCATCTTTATCATCACCATCATCATCATTACTGTTATTTTTAGTATGAATATTTTTGTTTTAACAGATGTATTTCCCTTTTAGCTTGGTTTAATCACACAAGCCCGAATTTTAAAATGCTTTTGAGATGAAAACTCGACAAATTTACTTTATTTACCCATTCCCTCGTCGGATGAAACCTCGAAAATCTTTACAAACACGCTGTGCCAATTTTAAGCGAGAAAAACACTTTTTTGAAAAAAAAGAGAACTGATTGCACGTACATCTATTTCTGTTAATGTGATGATTCTTAAAAGAACTGTTTCTTTTGAATTTTTCTCCTTTTACTTCTACATGACTGCATATTTTATAAAATGACCAAACTCTTATATGGAAAAAGTCACTTGAGAACATCACATGATCTGAAGTGAGCAAACAAACAACCCAAGCTAAAAAGGTCTACTGACCAAAGTTTGTTCATTTGTTTTTAATAGGCTTATTGTCATCACTTGGAAGATCAAGTTGAGGACTTGAAACAGAAGGTGGAGGAACTTACGGCAGAGCTAAAAATAACAAAGTCACAGCTGGTTCAAGCTAGAGTACAACAGGAAGCTTTAGTGAGCGCTTTAAGATCTGAGCGCAGTCTAAGAAAGAAAAAATCAACAGAAAGCTCTCGTAATTCAGCTGATGTTGAAGAGCTTATGGAGAAGAGTGAAAATTTTGCAAATGTGGATAGCCTGCGTGGAAAGTTTCATCACCTGTTGCATAGTGATCAGTCTAGTAGCAAGGGCGAAGTAGATAACATTAGTGGAAATGAAAGAGAAAAGGACAAACCAATTTGGCCTGGAGGTGTTGAGATTGTAGAGCACTCTGATGGAACTAATGGAATAAGGCCTTCTCAGCTAGTGAGGCAGATTTCACAGGAGGCACAAAACCCTCGAACATCTACTCCTACATCCAGTCATAGCGAGAGTCGACAGCCAGCATTTCTCAATGAAGAGAATTCAGCAAAGAAGGAATTAGAAGAATCTGATAATTATAGTGAAAAAACTAACGATGCAAAGTCTGCAAGCAATATTCAATTGCCTGAAGATCAGGTCACAACAGAGGGAACCAGTCATCAGGAAGATTTAAGAGGTGCATCCAGGCGGAAACCAAAAAAGCGTTCCAGTAAAAGAGATAGTGGAATAAGTGTCGATGTTTCTCCTACACCAAGCACATAAAACTTACTTATAGCCCTTTCAAATGAAAATCAATAAGTGGATATCCACAGGACCTTGATTTGCTTGAAGGGGTTACTCATAGTTTATGGTGATGGAAAGGTGCAGGCGGCTTTTCTGGTTCTGAAATTCAGAATTTTGGGATTTCCTATGGTAACAAAATTTTGACTTTGCCTATTGTTGTGGTCATTCAAAAAAATACCATTCCAAAAATTATTTTTATGAAACGGATTTTTAAAACACTTACATTGTGTTGTGTTAAAGTTTGGTTCAGGTGATTTTTTTCTTCACTTCAAAGTTTGTGGGTTTTTTGGGCGTTAACACTTGTTCTCCAACAGTGAGTCAAGGAGGGTTCTAACTATTGAGCCTGTGGACATTCAAAGTTAATTTGTTTGCCAGTTCTTTGACTAAGTGCTGTTTGTTTTTCAGCATTTCATACAAAACGAAATTTGGAAAATTTTTGGCTACTTTTTTTTTCAATCATCGTAAACGTAGCGTACCCCTTCCCCCTGAGTTTTGCACTTAATGAAGGTGGAATGAATTGTTTGAGGGCTTAGAATTATAATGCTGCCTGCATGATCGTGAGTGTTCAGTTTATTTAATTTTCTGTGCGAATGGTACCATGCAAAAGCATTAGTGAGTAGGCCTTGGATTTCACACTCAGATTCAAAAGTAAAGACTATTTTCGTGCATTCGTAATTATACTGACTGTGGGTATAGTTATATAATGGGATTAATAACTTAAATACAGTTTGTGACTATTAATCGCCAATAAGTCAGTTAGAAGCAGTGGGCAATCACAGTAATTATTATTGTCATTACTGTTATACAAATTGGTGCTTTGAATTTATCCAATTATCACTAACATACGTAACAAGTGTTCCTGTATGTTGCTGGCGTGCACTGTTAGGGCGAGAGCAAAAAGGTTAGGCGGTAGAAAAAATGGTTCCTTAACTCTCCCTCACCCTGTCCCACCCTTTTTTTGCTCTGGCCCTAACTTACAGCACGCTTCTTTCGTATTTCTCGACTGGGAGGTGTCGCTACTCAAATACTAAAGGGCGTGTTTGTTACGCAAGATTAAAGTTCAGCGGTGACGTTTTAGTGACTGTTTATCTCGATCGACTTAACATGTTTCCGTTGATGTTGAAAACTGTTGTGAGTATTCTAGACCGGCGTTTACTCCATTGGAGAAGGTGAAGGTTTAAGTTTGTCGACGCAACTTTAATATAGCTGAGCAAAATTAGGTAGAAATTTATAATAATTGTAATAGAAATTTACTAGAATGTAAAGTTAAGAATATGTAAATACAGCAAATGATAACTTGATATGCCGGGTTGTCAACTTAATGAATAGAAATATGCAATTTTTGTGCAAAATTAGAATTTGGAACCTTCCAAGGTTGTTTAATAAATTTCTTTTTCATGCCATTGTAAGATCTGATTTCCCTGTTTCAGTAATCCTGTTGTCATTGTCAAAATGAGACCACTATCTGTTTCTTTTTTAGACTGCCTGGGCTTTGGTATTTCTGGTCATCCCGTCTTCTTTCATTGACCATCTAGACTGCATAACAAGCGGTTTTTTTTCGCCTTTTTAATGCGCAAAATGCCCATCACCATAAAATGAACAGTAAACTGCAGGACCATTTTTTCTATGGCGCGGGATCTGGTCGGCCACCCAGAAACTGCCACATCGTTAGATCTGGCTGCGGATCGGGATCAGTGATCCAAGATCACTCGGATCATTGCACATAAAATGAACCGTCGAATCAACTCTGGAAAGGATTTATCAGTTCATCAGATGTACCATGATCAGAGTGATCTCGGATCGCTTATCCTGATCCGTATCATCCCAAAGGAACGCACCCTTGTTTAGAATACTTGACTTTCGCTTGGCTATTTCACTCTAACTTCCTTCCTAACATGAGAGAGCTTTGTTATGGCTCAAGAACCGCAAAACCTTTTCTTGCTTTCATGTTTCGGTTCCGTCACAAATTTTCGTTTCCGTCTGATCGCCTGTGTAGCCTGATTCTTGTCGCTTTTGCCAGTCTACTTCAAAGATATCCTTATAGGGTTTGGGTTTTATTAGGGTTTCAGTTTTTCTCTATGTGGAAGTCTCGTACTAAGATTTCCTAGCAGTCCCCACGAAGAGACTTTTCCGAGGCCGAGAAAACGGAAGGCGTATGCCCGGGACCAAGTGATCGGCTCCTGCTGAAACCACTATATAGTCTGCCTTTTTTAACGATCAGGGGAGGAAGCGTGGTAAAATATCCTGCCTATTGTTTTTGCCTTTGTACTTGAGGATAAGGAAAAAACTGCCTGTCTTTTTTTTTCTTTCTCTTTCAATCTATCGTTTTTAGCAATCAGAAAATGTGATATATTTAAAGAGGCTATTCTATGTCACGAGTTTATTAGTGTTTTAGGTCAATTTTAAGTTAATGCTTTTACCCATGCACAAAATGCTCCTGTAGATCGTCGAACAAATTTCATCACGGAGCGTTAACGTCATTTATAACCACAATATTTTTTTTTCATGATTTTGCAGGCACCGACAATAAAACTTTAAAAAAAAAAATGGCCCAAGTTTCAATCCACGTCCATCCAAACCCTGCCTAACCTGAGATCAGGCTCTATTTTTCGTTTCGCTTTTTACATAAAATTCTGGCGGGAAAGGCGAACGAAAAGAGAGCCTAATTTTAGCGCGACCACGTAAGAAAGAATGTAGTAACAGAGGACAGAAAGCAGCACTGTCCATTGAAATGAACAAAACTGGACCATCGCTATTGTTATTTTTTTTTTTTTTTCAAAAAAGACAACAAATAGCGTGACATACGCACATTGCCCCTTTTCCCTTTAACTGTTATAGACGGAATAGAAAATCGGTGATGTGTGACTTCCGAGAAGGAATAGCTGTAAAGTGAGTGACAGGCTTGGCACTAAGGAAACTCGTGCTTAGTCTCTTCTGGCTAGCCCAGTGAAAGTCCTCCTGCAGCAATCTGTAGGAGGACTTTGATTTGTGAATTTAAAGTCTCAAAATGCCTTGAAACAGGTGGAAATCAGCTTCTGAAACCGAAATGTCAGTTAATCCAGCCGCGGTAACTCCCCCTCGTCCTACTAGGAGACTTGTTAGTCCTGTAGCTTTCCAACAAACCGGGGATATCGCGGAAGTTATTTGTGATGGCGGGCACCGACACGAAAACAGTCACAGTCTGTCTATAAATGTTGATGGTTCCACACCTTCTACCATTTCCATGCCGAAAATTGAGTCGTGCATACTTGGGATAGAAACTTTGGAACAGAGAGATAAGTTTACTGTGAGTAATATAGGGAAAATTTCGATATTGCTTTCGGTTTAGTGATGCTTGCACTTTTCACACTGTAATACATTAAGCAGACGTCACCTCTGGTTTTCTACTCAGCTGTACAAAATTGAGGTAAACAATGGCTCGAAAACGTGGATTATTTACCGACGATATAAAGACTTCGTGCTTTTAAACAAGAAGGTAAGCTTGATACCTCTCTTGCATTGCGTTTTGTTGTTTTGTGCAAGCAACAAATTTACTATCCGATGCAGTATGTCCAAATTTAAAACTCTACGCTTGTACAGGTTATAATGTGGATCGTGGACTTTTCAGCACGATGGAGAAGTATTTGCTACTAAAGAAATCAGCTGTTTTTCGCTTGTAGCTCATAGAGAAGCAAGTTCCTCATTTAAGTTTACATGTAAGCATAATTACGTTCATTTTTATTGAGTTTAATTCTCTATTGTTAAGCCTTAACCTTATATTTTTGCAAATTTGTTACAGTTGCGACGGCTTTATCCCCAGTTTCGATTAAATTTACCAGCGAAGCGGTTTTTCAAAGACAATTTTGCAAAAGGTAAGGAAATGAAAATTAATGGCCAAATCGATAATAATTATTTGTAAACAAACTACTATACAGAGAAACACTATTTTTTGACAAACCTGGTAAATGCAATTACCTCATAAAGTAAGCTTACCGGTAAATTTAAATTTTTCGCAAAAGCGAGGTAACGAGTCACAAAATCGTACATTAAAAGGGATTTGTATTTTGCATTAGCCAGCTGGGTAAGAGGAAGTTATTCAATAATATTATAGTGATAATCAAACTAGCTAATCGCTCGTAGAATCACATGAGGCACCTCGTGACAGAATGGTTTGATTTCGGTGGTAGTTGATTATTAGCTGAATGTCTTTTCTTTTCAGTACAAGATTTGTTAGCATTAATACTTCAGTTAGCTTAATAGCCTGCCAAATCTTTTGATTTGTTGTAAGGGACTAATTTGATCAAAGGATCGTTAAACTGCATAATTAACATTACCAAAGCACAGCTAATCATGGTTTTTCCCCAAGAAGTGTGGAAGTTCAGGTTACAGAAACCCCTTTCTTGAGAGGGGTCAAGGTGTGCATCATGATCTATTTTCACTTCTGTACTATGACCTACAAAGCATTGTTTTACCACTTTCATTTTCCTTATGATGTTAATTATGTCCAGAGGGTTCACTGTTAATTTCTATTGGCAAATAGTTGGTGTCATAAAATTCTACTAGTATTCTGTTGAGCACTGTCTACTAATTTTATCAAGTATTATCTGTGAAAACTTGTGTCTGATCAGTGGCGCTCACAGAGACTCATTTTCTAAGTTTATCAAATAAAATCTGTTAGGGATTTACATTTTAAAACTCTCGCCGTATGGAGAAGATTTTGGACATTGCAATTCTTCATATGGATAGCCTATTTTTATTAGAAAGGGATATGAAAACCAGTCATAAGGATTTTGTTATGGTTTATTTATTTTAGCTATGATTTGTTGGTTCGACTCTCTGCCATTACTGAATTCTGTTCCAGTTACATGACAATGACACTAACAGTATTAGATCAAGGGTTAAAGCGACGATTAATTCTCTTGTTGCGGTTTGAAATTGACTGTGAATACAACAGATTTGGTATGCGGCACCAGATTTTGCTCATTTATTCAGAATTTCAATACCTGCATTTGCATACTATATAGTAGCAGCATTGACACATTTTAATGGTGTTTTTAAATTAGGTGTTAATTGAATTTTTCCATGTTTACATATAGACTTTATTGAAAGACGGCAGAGTGGTCTTGAAGAATTTACCAGGAATTTGTTTTGTCATCGAAATCTTGTCCTTAGGTAAGCTGAATTTAGCCCATAACACTTTGTGTTAAATATAAATCTTAAGACTGTGCTCTTGCCATAGCAGCACTTTGTAGCCTCTTGTGACTAAATTTTTCTGCAGGGCAACTGGAAATCTTAGTTTTTGCTTAAAACTTGCTTTCTGGGACCCATACACCGTATTCACAAATGGCGGACACGCGGGAAAAAACTGGGGCCTAGTCATGAAAGCGAGGCGTTGGAGGGTAAACAAAAATTGCAAATGAAGACTTTCAGTGAACTTGCAGAGTGTTTAGCACGGATTCTACCTAAAATAACTTTGTATGGACGTCTTTTTAAATACAATGACGTGGAACGTCTTTTGCTTTTAATGTTTAGTACTGATTTGCTGTTTGCAATCACAAGGAACGCGTATATCTTCAAGGAAACGGGATGATTTTGTAGGTTGCCGAAGCCTCAGAAGCTCGACAAGTGGGTGATGGCTGGAGAAAAGCGGCAAACATGTTGGCCCAAACTTCACGCTGAAACCGAATACGAAAGCCAGTTCACTGCAATTCTGTAAAACAGAAGTAAAAACAGATATTGGTGGCAAGAAAAAAAGAAAAAAGCGACGGATAGATGGCCTACTTGTCAACGGAAGAGACCTCCGCCATTACTCAAAACTGGTCAAGTCGAGAGCGGGTGATGAAAGATTCATTCACGAGACTCATTAATTCATGTCTCAGTGTCATTTTACACATATCTATGTATGTCTGTATTTACAACTTCCTTTGGATGATATCAATTCCGTCGCTTTGGAGTGAATTGTTAGAGGTACGTTGGCAGAGCTTAGCAAATTCAGTGCAAATCTAAAATCTTTTGATTTCTTTGCATTGCGAAATAAAATAATTTTATCAAAACTAGAAGCTCTAGTGTGTGAATCTTATGGCTTGCTATTTGCATGGTCTCCTTTACGGCATTATCTCAGAGAGCTCTTTGTAAAAAAGTGGTATAAAGCTCACATTTTACTAGGTTAAACTTTTAAGGCAATGTTTGTGTCAGGACTGAACACGGCAAGCTTCTGTTTCGAATCATTAAATGCGAGTCTGGATCCGTTTAAGAAGACCATCATTTTACTTATTTATGTATTCTTCACTTTTAAAACATTATGGAACATGAACTCTTAACAGCCAAAGATAAGAAATAGGAAAATTACTCGCCGAAATGAAATGTGGCCGGCTTACCGAGTCTGCCGCGTGACAAGTCGAAATTTTGAGCGTACTCCACTCGATCGCTCCTGCATTTATACCAAAAAGATAGTTCTAATTGAGGTCCTTCATCGATAAAGACCAGAGAATAGCGTCCTGGCAAATAAACACCAAACATAACTTCATCGAAACCTCAGTCACCGCTTCTTTCCTGTCTTCATTTTTTCCATCTCGATTTGAACTGTTTTGTTCAATGGCACACGTTTCTTGCGTTAACAAGTAGGCCATATATCCATCGCTTATTTCTTTTTTTCTTGCCCCCAAGATTTGCATTGTTTATATTTCTGTTTTACCGAATTGCAGTGAGCTGGCTTTCGAACTCGGTTTCAATGTGAAGTTTGGGCCAACATGTTTGCCGCTTTTCTCCAGCCATCGCCCACTTGTCGAGCTTCTGATGCTTCGGAAACCTACAAAATCATCTTGTTTCCTTGAAGATATACGCGTCCCTTTTGATTGCAAACAGCAAATCAATACTAAACATTAAAAGCAGAAGACATCCCACGTAATTGTATTTTAAAAGAAGTCCGTACAAAGTTATTTTAGTTGGAATCCATGCTAAACACTCTGCAAGTTCACTGAAAGTCTTCATTTGCAGTTTTTGTTTACCCTCCAACGCCTCGCTTTCATGACTAGGCACCAGTTTTTTCCCGCGTGTCCGCCATTTGTGAATACGGTGTATGTTTTCAAAAAATTCCTACCATTTTTCTCAGAGCTCATGAGTCTAGTATTAATGATTTTTTTTTGTAATATTCTGCTTGAAGTTGGTTGAGCTGTTTTCTGTTACCTAAAACTTACCTAAAGCCATTTGCAGGCTGGCACTTCGTGGCCTTATGTTCCAGATGCAAATATAAGCTTCCAACGTTTGGGCATGTGCAGGAGCAAAATTTCGAGATAGTTTGTAGGTTTGAAAGTGACCCAGCAGTCTTGACTTTTTCCTTTCACTCCCCTTCCCCCCTCTTCTTTTGCTTTTCTTGCCCCGTTTTTTTTTTTTCTGGGCATTTACAAGGCTTCATTTTGGTGGGAAAAGCATTCTGGGAAAACTTTGGGGATCTTAGGATAAGGTGGAAGAAATAGTGGGTGTGTAGTGGAACAAGATTTTCTTCCAAAATTTTTCAGGTCAATTTTTTGTGGGTTTTTGCCTTTTGCTCTGGCCTGCTTGACTTAGTCATGCTCATTCTGACATCACAAGCAATGGAAGGGACTTGAATCTGCACGGGCAGTTCAGGGGTGAATGGGTTAATATTATTTTTTGAGAATTCATCCGATTAATAAGGATTTGATTTTCTAATAACTTTTCTATGTTGATCTTATTTTATCATGACCAGTGACCCAGTTCAGAGATTTTACCGACTGATTAATCCACCACAACCCAGTGAAAGTTTGGAAGCTAGCCTGGTATGTAAATTTTAAGCATGTTACACTTGGGAGTAAATAGATAATGTTTTTTCAAGTAATTAAGAGCACCTTTAGTATTTCTAAATATTGGTCTATATTCATTTGAGTCTCCTGTAAGCAACCACTCAAAGTGGGCAGATGTAGTGGTCGCTTATGGGAGCAGGGGCACCCAACGTCAATTTTCGGAAAATATCTGTTCGGAAGACGATTTGGAATCT